GGCAGGAAAAGTCTTAGGCCTCATCTGTCTGTAACCTTCTGGCTTCTCACTTCTCTTCATGAAAACATGTATATATGCAACCTCCACCAAGGACTCGCACACACCAAAATTCAAGGAAGACTGGTTGGTAGTTTCAGAACTTGTGAAAGCAGTGCCTCTTCACTGTGAAACTCTGATTCCAGTAGTGCTGGAGTTTGTCACAACCCAAAACTGATATCCTGTCAACAAAACAAAACAAACTCCATTATATGTACAGCAGTGAAAAAGTTTACAATGTAGCACTGGTGGCAGTAAAACGTTCACATGCAGCACATGGTTTATTAAAACCATGCTAAGCAACTTCTTCAGGCAGCCTTTCTCAACCTGAACTACAGACTGTGTTGGGCTTCTAACAGTCCATTAACAAAAAAAAAAAAAAAAAGTTTTAAGTGCCTCAAGTGGGAACAGTCCTGAATTGCAAAGGATGTGGATAGAGTAAAGAGGAACTCAGTGTGGTGGGCAAGACTTTCAAGAGGAGGCATGAACTGCTGTGTGTGCTACTCCATCACTGCTGCTTTGCCTTCCCCTCTCTGCTGGGTGCTGTCTCCATCAGCTACGTTTTTGCCAACACTTTTATAGCTGAAGGTGCCAATTCTACTACCCAGTTAGTCAGAATAGGGACCAAATACCCTAGCTGTTCAACAGTTCTGAGATCAGGCTCCACAAATAGATGGAACTAAGTACAAAGTACACCAGTGAGAATATATAATTACCATGATTTTATTGATTCTTTAGCACTCACATATGTAAAAAGTAAACATTCGCCTAGCTCATCACACACACCTTCATGATTTCTTGTATCATCTGCCAATTAAACCTGCTTAAGGGTTCAGCTTTCTAAGGCTGCCACAGTCTTTTAGTTCAAGTCTCCTTGAACCAGTCTTCATCAATAAGCAATTTTAAAATTTATTTTACATAAGGGAAGATGAGAAAATGGGGGAAAACCAAAGAAAATTTAGTCAGACTTCTTTACTGTAAAACTGTTTAACAACTCAAGCATCAAATTCACTGAGAGCATAGCTGTGATATTTGGTAAGGGAAACAGAACTTTCTGCCAAAAACAAATAAAAACCGTTTGCATTTTGAAGGCACTGACTCATCAGGGAAAGAAGCCTCTGTCTGCAGAGAACTCAAAACTCTGCACTGGTGCTGTGCACTGGATAGTATTGTAGCACTGTAACTGGTATGGCAAAGGACGGAGCAACTTCGGTGAAACACCGAAGAAGTTAGAGAGCATTTGCCTCTTTAGAGTATCATGAAACAAAACTTTGGCAGTCTTTGCTGATCCACAGGGTAAGATCAATTAGTAAGACTGCACAAGATACAAAAGTTACATATTTTAGCACTGTCTTTTCTTCACAGGCAACTAGAAGAATGATAAAGTTCAACTCACACTGTTCCTTTACTATAATACAACATCCAACAGTAGCAATACTGAAAATGTTCTTATTTTCTTGTTTCAAAGTGTTAAAAATTTGCATTCCTAGTTTGTTTTGAGGATTCAGATGTCTGCAAGCATCTTTTGTCTCTTAAAGAAGTAGCGTGCAGGTAAGTGTTTCTCATATTACACATGAACTAAACAAGTGTCTAAGTTTTACACAGTCCACATAAAAGTCACTCTTTCTTCATCCAAGTTACACTTCTACAATATTTGCACTGTCACAAACAAATTAATGATTCAGTGATTAAGGAAGAATACAACAATAATAGGAAAACACCTCTCAATATACACATGCAAATTATATGAGTTAAATACAGATGATTATCCATATACAAATAAAACCTGAAAAACTACATAAATAAGGACTGTGAAAAGAAACACAAGGGACACCCAATTAATATCATTCTCTTTGGAGAGCCACTTAAGATTTAGATAGTTCCATTAGAGAAATTACATTATTTCTTAGTTGCTACAACTGCACCCACAAGTTTTCTTTGCCCTGTGATAGGTTTGAAACCTTAAATAAATGTAATTTGGTAGTTCTATTAAAGTTTTTTCCTACAGTCTAGTAGCATACAATTCTTCAGTGCTCACTGAATGAAGAAAAGATCATCAGATATGTAAGTGAATTTTAGTAATACACTGAAATTTTGTTCAAAGTATTAAGAAATCTAGATTCAGCAGAAAGTACAGCATGAGAGCAATCAAAATGTAATTGAATTTTGACCACCTTCAAAATAATTTTCAAAATATGCCGTATTTAAGACCATGTTGAAAATACTTCGTCAAAAACACTTTTTTCAAAGAAAATGGAGTAACTATATTTAGAGCATTTTACTAGTTTTGCTATGGATGTTCCTTTTCTTTCCAAGAGACCTGCTTCAAAAAACCACACGTGTTGGATACACAAGTGTGAGAATATATGCTAATAACACTTGAAAAAATCATCACCTCTGGAAAAGTGAAACCTCTACCATAAACCCATCCCAAAATACAGGACAAGGCCAAGTATCTCTGAGGTTTAGCAATCTAGACTACATGTTCAAATTCAGCCAAAATTAGGAGTAATGACTCGTTCACCACTGGCAGGTTAACTAGATAGATTAGTTGATACTGATCTTGTGTCACACATATACCAATGAGGGAAGAAAAAAAATGTCCATATGCGAGTTAATCCTTTTAACAAGTTCCAAATGCCTGGAATTCTGGAGAAAACAGCTGGTTTGCACCTATTAATTTTACCATAATTTCATCTGGTATTTCAATATTCACTTTATGGTTACACCACAGCTAGTTAAGATAAACAAATGTAATAACTCTAAGAAAAATCACAATTAAATTAACAGGACACTTAAACCATGTCAGGAGACCTAGAGCCTATGACCTAGGGGGGTAAAAAAACCCCAAAAACCAGCTTGTGCTCTAATTTCTTTAGGTGCAATACTGAGAGAACTGTATTTCTTTCTGAAGTGCTTTAAGAACTTTAAAACAATGATGTCAGTAAGTGTTTGATAGCTATTATTTTGCTGGCAACTGCAGTTTAACAGGATACAGACTAAGCAGTCTTGAAAAATAAAGCTGCACTTTAACATAAATTTTTAGCAGAAACAGAGCTTTACCAATGTAAACTGTCCAGTCCACTAATCTCCCACCACTTCCTAGCTCCAGCATAACTGTTTGTATGGCCACACAGAACAAATCAAGCTAAGGAACATACCCAGATGAATAGTAACTTTTTGGTGGGTGAGTTGTTTCTTTTGGCAGCAGTTATGGTTAACAGCAGTTTGATATGTGAAACTACAGTCTTAACTGCTCTGAAACCAAATTAAATCAGTCCTCCAGTTTAATGAAGTACAAGAAAGCAAGTATTACTAAAGTTCACCTTGCTTTACACATGAACCTCAAAATTCAGACAGACATTTGCACACATTTTAAATCAAGAAAGTTTTGACTGTTCAGTAAGAAACCTATCTTAACTACATACAACTAGCAAACACAAACTGTATCCAAGGGAACTGATGTCTATTCCCCCTTGCACTTTTGTTCATTAAACTATAAACCTGTTTGTTAATGCAGCTACTTGTGCTGATGAAGTTCTCTGCTTCTTAAAGGAGTCAAAAAAAATTTTTTTCCTTTTTCAAAATATAGGGATAAATTATTTTTTAGATGTAAAACTAATTTTTCAAGGGCTTGGTTGAAATCAACAAAAGGAAACTGTTCTTCAGATAACAGGTCATTGAGCCAGAAAGCCGTTTCCCAAAGGATTAATTTCCAGTGCTAAAAGTTTCCATATGATGAGGAAAAAAGTGGACCCTAAAATTAACTATAAATAAAGACAGCAACATACTGACAGGGAAGACTGAACGGGAAATGCCCAGAGGCAAGCTGAACACTGGGAACATCGTGCATCTGCTCTGCTTGTTTCCATTCTTACACCCTGCTATTTCCCTGAGAAGGACACAGCTCTCCATACCGACAGATGTGGCCTTAGTTGCCCTCGGCAGCAGCAGCAGCGATTTCAAGAGCATGCACGAGGGACCTTTACGGCCACCGGAGCACAGCCACCTGAGGACCACAGCGTCACGGCCACCGAGGCAATCCCTTCGGCGCAGCAGGGCCCAGCGCTTGAGGCAGCACCCGGCGCTAGAGGCCTCGGCGCCGGGACGAGCGCTGAGCATACGACAGCCGCTGGTCCCCCGACTCTGCCTCGACGCCGGGACACCCGCGCTCCTGCCGCCCAGCCGGCCCCAGGCCGCGACCCGAGAGCGGCCTTGGGCAGC